GCGGCGTGGCGACCGCTTAAACCACTACGCCATCTGTGCAGTTAATTAATTATAATGAAATAAAGAAAAGTTCAGACCAAATTAATGTCGGAAGGAAAAAATATTTGTAGTTAACGTCCAATACTACCTTATACATAGGCATGAGGTCTCGATTAAGATACCAAACTTTCAACATTGTCTAATCAACAAGCTATAGCAGCGGTCAAACTCAGAGTTACCTTTTAAAGTCAAACGTGAAAGCGGTAATTTTGAAAAGGAAAAAGCAGGTAGAAATGAATAAATGAAGGAAGGAAGAAGCGAAATGAGAAAGCAAGACAAGGAAGAGCTATGTGCAACTGTTGACTGTAACCTTTAATGCCCATTATCAGTCATATTATCCGTGTAGGGACGGATTAAGAATACGGAATGTCACCATCCCTATTCATCCCGTGGGTGTCGTAAAAGCCGACTAAGGGCGCAAAACAACGCAGGACACCAGCACTGCAAAAAGAAGGAAAACTTGACACAAATCCTATATCAACCCGTCTGACCAGCGTGGTATTCTTGGCCAAAACCTCCTTTCTAAGGAGAGGCCTATGTCCAACAGTAGACTATTAAAGGCTGTTGATGTGATGTGATGTGATCAGTTATATTGGTTTTTCAGTGGTTAACTTTATATCAAAACGTATGTAAATAGATGTTTTTTTTGTACCATCTACAACCAACCAATAAACCGATTTTAAAGAATTGTTAAAATCGGTTTAGTGGTTTAGTCGACAAAGCGTAACATCGTTGGACGGAATAAGAATACGGAGTGTAACCAGTATTCATCCCGTAGGTGTGTTAAGAGCCGACTAAGGGAGTAAATTACGCAGGACATCATCATCATCATCATCAGCCTATCGCAGTCCACTGCTGGACATAGGCCTCTCCCATTGCACGCCACTTAGATCGATTTTGGGCTTCTCGCATCCAGCTCCTGCCAGCCATCTTGCGCAAATCGTCACTCCACCTGGCCTGTGGGCGTCCTAAACTACGTTTGCCGAGACGCGGTCTCCACTCTGCGGTTCTGCGGCTAATATGGCCAGCTCACTGCCACTTCAGCTTGCTGATCCAGTACGCTATGTCGGTGACCTTGGTTCTCTGCCGGATCTCCTCATTTGTGATGCGATCCCTTAGAGAAACGCCGAGCATAGCCCTTTCCATAGCACGTTGAGCGACTTTGAACTTGTGGACCAGCCGTCCCGTAAGTGTACCGTACGCAGGACAACAGCACTGCAAAGAGAAAGAGAACTTGAACCCAACCTTATACAAACCCGTGCCAGCGTGGTCAACAGTGTACCTACTACTAGAGGCTGTTGATGATGATTGTTTGAATTAGTAATCAGAAAGCTGACTTGAAAAAACGGTTCAATTCAAGAATTCAACCTTATAATTAACTAAAAAGGTAGCATTTGTACTACCGAGCGCCACCCACCCCAGAGGCAGAGGCAGAGATGCCGCCCACTGTAATCAATACCTGCACTTCAATTTAGTTTTTTGCTAATTGACTAAGGACAGCACACCCTGACAACAACTGTTATCATTTCTAATGTAAAGTAAACATTAGCTAACAACAGGTCATCCCCTTCGTCACGCAAATATTGAATGTTCAGCGTTTGGACTTGTTGAGTAACGGGTGGGTTGTAAAGTGACGTATATATTACCGGTATCCGTAAAAATATACGTCAAGGAGAGAAAACAGATGTTGAATGGATCTTTTAGATAATTATGTTTTATTACATACTAAGCGGCTTCTTTATATTTTTCGTGTGGTGACGGATTAAGAATACGAAGTGTCAAAACACCAATTCATCCCGTGGGTGTCGTAAGAGCCGACTAAGGAAGCAAACTCTACATTACAACAGCACTGCAGAGAGAAGGAAAACTTGACACAAACCCTATACCAATCCGTCTGGCCAGCGTGGTATAGTAAGCTTAAAAATATTTTCTAAGAAGAGTCCTATGTCCAGCAGTGGACTATAAAATGCTGTCGATGATATCTACATTACCCATTGTATATACTTTTGTCGTTACATTTTAATATGAAACAAAATAATTAATACACTTAATTATTTCCTGTGGTTCTCATATCAGGAGTTACTACTTCCGTCTCCTATTAGATAGTAATGTTGTTGCAGCGTATCCTTTTGTTTCTATTACTATAATTATTGTTCAACCCACTTCTACATATAGGTGGGTTTTATAACAATAACCTATACAAATAAATAAAATTGAAGTGTCTGTTTGTAATATCAAAATATTAGGTTTTTTTTATGCTCGCGCCGTTATTTGCACGATACCTATGACGAAAAACCAGCTTATTTTTTTTTTGCTGTCTGTTTGCTCCGGGTAATCTCCTAAACAGCGGGAACGATTGTGTTAATATTTTACTACCAGGTAGCTGTCTATATAAGGAGTAACTTAGGCTATTTTTCCTCTCAGAAAAACCTTTTTTTGTCAGTCTGTCGGTCTGTCTGTCTGTCCGTTTGTTGCGGGTAATCTCCTAAACGGCTGAACCGATTTTGTTAACATTTTACTACCAGGTAGCTGTCTATATAAGGAGTAACTTAGGCTATTTTTCCTCTCAGAAAAACCCTTTAAAATTTTGTCCGGTTCGGGAATCGAACCCACTAAGGCGTCGCGGGTACCAGCTAGTGGTATATATCTATAGGCCACTGCGAGCTGAGACCTCGTGTTGCTATCGGTGCTGGTCCGGAGAGGCAGGTTAATAACACTGTGACTCACGTTGCCTGAATTTCATCTCCATTATTTTTATTGTCTAGGGACAAACGAGCACTCGTGTCATCTGATGGTAAGTGGTTACCGCCACTCATGCTTGCCTGCGACGACGACCTGATGCCTCTTGTGCCCTTTTGTGTTCTCTTGACTTGTATTTAAAGTTTCATGACAATCGGCTGAATATTTAAGTGTAATAATCAAACAAACAAACAATCCAACAACTAACCTGTGGAACGAGTCTTCACCTGCAGTATTTCCGGACCGATACGACCTTCAAACCTTCAAGAAAAGAGCGTACTCCTTTCTTAAAGGCCGGCAACGCGTTTGTGACTCCTGAGTTACAGACGTTCATGGGCAGTGATGGTCACTTTCCATCAGGTGACCTGTGTGCTCAGATGGCCCCTCTAACATAAAAAAAAAACATTTATTAAAAAGGCTTACTAGCAACCGAAATTACTAGTATTCCCGTCAACCCCGCACCCTAAGCTAAATTGCTTGTGTTAGGAGTGGGTTCACGTGGGTAGTGTCGGATTCGAACCCACGACCTCTTGATCGCAAGTCCAATGCCTTAACCACTAGGCTACCGCCGCTTAGCTTATTGTATTAGGTAGAAGGTATTAGATTAGTAACCTATGAGTTATAGAGGGGGAAACTATAGTACGTACACATAAAAAACGCGTACTTACGCTATATCCGTAAATTAACTTCGTGAAAACAAGTAATAAATATGATTACACCTTGAAACTCTAAAATATGTTATCCGTAGAAATACGTTCGTATTGGCACATAGCATTCAATTAGCAGCAAACACTTTGCTATGAACAATATTTGTTCAAAATGTTTCATTAACCAATGTGTCATTTTTACAAATAAATAAAATTGTAGTGTCTCTTTGTAATGTCAAAATAATAGGTTGTTTTCATGCTCACACGGTTATTTACACGATACCTATGTCTAAAATCCAATTTAAATATTTTTTGTCTGTTTGTTCCGAGTAATCTTCAATACGGGCGACCGATTTTGAAAATATTTTACTAGCAGATAACTTACTTTACATGGCAGTAACTTGAGCTATTTTTAAAATGAAAACTTTCTTAGGCGCGTTGGCCAGTTTTGAACAACAAACAAAATAATGTAGTTTTTGGGTGTTTAAAAACCATTGTACTCTCGACACTGTTACCGTTAACGACACCCTTTGCGTATAAGTATCTACATATATTGGCCTCGTTTACACGAGAGTTGAGTTTGGGTTGAATCGAAAAAAAAAACGAAAACTATTACATTAATCAAAAAAAAAAAATAACTTTCAAGTTTTCACTTCTCAATATTTTTATTTTTAAGAAAAACCTTATAAAATTTTGCCCGGTCCGGGAAACGAACCCGAGGCCTCATGGACTGCAATCGCGTACCGTACTTCACCACTAAGGCTGCGCTTTTTCCACGCAAACGAAGTCGCGGGTACCAGCTAGTTCACAAATATATTCCAGTGAGTAGGCGTACATTTCTGCAGTTTTTTGCAATATAGTAATTTTTGACGTACTAAGTACGTTGCGGTATTCCGTGTACTGTTACCTAAGAAAAAATACAACAAAAAATTGTCACAAACAGGAATCAAAAATCACATTCATTTTAATAATAAAGCAGTCCTGATCCGATAGGACTACAAGTAAGGTCTAAAACATATTATAATTACTAAAAATTAATTAAAAAGAGCAGAACAGGATCAGAGTCAGAATAATTATCAAACTATGAAGTGTCATCATCAACAGCCTTTACTAGTCCACTGCTGGACGTAGGCCTCTCCTTAGAAAATAGGGTTTGGCCTACTATACCACGCTGGCCAGACGGGTTGCTACAGGGTTTGTTTTAAGTTTTCCTTCTCTTTGCAGTGCTGTTGTCCTGCGTAGTTTGCTGCCTTAGTCGGCTCTTACGACACCCACGGTATAAATAGGGGTGGTGACATTCTGTATTCTTAATCCGTCATCACACGGACTATGATGTGCAGATAGTCAAATAGCGGACGAAAGGATTAAAGGAAAGTATCGGAATAAATACTGACTTACATTACTTACATGAAAGTTATAACTATATGTTAGTTCGAAGGTATCTTTTTAACATAATTTGAGCATGTTTCACCAATAAAATAATACGCTAACAATCAGCAGCTATCTATCAGCCATACACTGGCGTACTATACGCCTGATACAAATGCCCAAGATTATTCAAGTAGCATATTGAAGATGGACAGTTTCCCTACATCCCTGGTTTCGCAAGCGAGACCTCGTAGCCACCGAGCCGTGTCTGCACAAGCTTCCAACGAGTATTGGTTAATCGTTCACTTAACTGGTGTCAGTGATGTTGTGTAATAAAATGAAGAATTGGAGCATAAGGTGGGTGGTGGTGGTGCCTATGGCATTCACCAGGGTATCACTAGTTTTTTTATACACAGTACAGTTGTAGAAACCCATGTCATGGGCGGCAGTAGTCATTCAGTTCTAGCCATTTGCTCGTGAACCCATAAAAAATGATTTTCACAATTTTGAAATTATGTTAAACAATTTTAGTAAACAAGACGGACCTTTTGGTCTAGTTGTTAGTGAACCTGACTGCTAAGCCGAAGGTCGTGGGTTCGATTCCCACCCGGAACAAATAATTGTATGAAGAGCATAATCGTTTGTTCTGTGTCTGGGTGTAATTTATCTATAATATGTATGTATTTAGAAATATATATATATAGTATGTTTATCCGCAGTCTGGTTACTATAGTACAGGCTCTGCCTAGTTTGGGATCACACGGCCGTGTCTAAGATGTTTGAGGTTATTATTATTACAACAACTTGTACACAAAGAACACAGATTCGGAAGGACAATTTCTGGATCATAGCTTTTTTGTCCCGTGCGGGAATTGAATAATCAGTACTCGAAGTGGCAGAGTGGCAAATCGACCATTTTTAACTATAAAACCATTTGTATCTTTAAATATAGTTCAGTGTTATATACGCATATTAAGGCCTGAAATAAACAGATTTTATATCACTTATATGCACAAGATTTTTTTGTAATTGCATACATAAGTATTAAGTACTTGGAAACATCAGACAGACCAAAAGTAATAGATGCATAAAATATTTGCACTGACCGGGAATCGGACCTAGGACTTCCAGATGCAGTCGATTGTTTTGCAGTCGTGCTACGGAGCTGATCATTTTGATCAGACTGAGTGCAGTCTTTATTGTATGCTTAACTATTTAATGTAATGTTTTAAATGTTAACCTGAGCTCGTTACAAAACGAGCACAGGTTTGTATGCTCGTATTCAAAGAGTGCCGCGTTCTATTCCCATCCCATTAGTTAGTGACCTTGACTGCCAAGCCGGAGGTCGTGGGCTCGATTCCCACCAAGGCAAAATACTGTGTGATAAGCACGGTCATTTGTTCTGTGTCTGGGTGTAATTTATATATAATATTTTGTACGAGTATGTGTTTAGTAATATATAGGTATGTTTATCAGTGGTCTGGTTGCCATAGCACAGGCTCTACCTAGTTTGGAATCAGACGGCCGTGTGTGAGATGTGTGAGATATATTATTATTTATCGTAAAAATCTGCGATGATATGGTTTAGTAAATAAATTAAGAGTTGCCTCTCGAAAAAATCGATAAAGCGAGCCATCGGGCTGAAACCGTTATCTACTGATACTACAAAAACATTGGTTAATAATAATATGAAAACAGTGATTTTTACCTTAACGTGGCAAAACTAGTATCTGGAAATATCTATGTACACCACGGCCTCATAATACCACCTTTAAGCACTTCCTTAGTTACTTTTTATCGAGCGAGTGAGGTTCCTGGAAGCCTAACCCCCTCTCATGTTCTGGGGGGAAACACAAAGGGACATGTGTCCCTTGAGTTATAAAAACCCATGCTATAGGCGGCAGTAGTCATTTAAAATTAGTTCTAGCCGTGTGGTGACGGATTGAGAATACGGAGTGTCACCACCCCTAATTCATCCCTAGGGTGTCGTAAGAGCCGACTAAGCGAGCAAACTACGCAGGACAACAGCACTGCAAAGAGATGGAAAACTTGAAATAAACCCTATACCAACCCGTCTGGCCAGCGTGGTATTGTAGGCCAAAACCTCCATTCTAAGAAGAGGCCTGTGTCCAGCAGTGGACTACTATACGCTGATGATGATTTGCTCTTGATCCCATAAAAAAAAATGATTTTCACAATTTTAAAATTATTCCTATAGACTGATCTCCTATCTACTTATCATCATACCAATCACCAATGCCGACCTGTTCTCCAAAGCGACCAAGACTAAAACAGACGAGCGTGATGTTACAAGCAGTGTATTTGATTTCATCATCATCGGTGGTGGAACTGCTGGATGTCTCCTGGCCAACAGACTGTCTGCCGTAAGCGACTGGAAGGTAACCGACGTCATGTTCATTTGTGGTCATAATATAGCTGTTTATGTTCACTGTTCTTAAGTCACCGGTGGGTCCGTGATGATGAACAGTCTATCTTGATGGTGGTGGCGACGGATTAAGACCACGGAGTGTCACATCCTATGGGTACCTGAATTCCATACAACCGTTCATCCCTTATGGATGAAATTTCCAAACATATTTTCTTAATGGGTCGTCACAGCATAAAAAAATAAGTAGCCAAAATTTTAAGTTTGTAGCCCTAGTGTTTTAGGATCTGCGTTGATGAGTCAGTCAGTCAGTGCCAGTAATTTATATGAATGGAGGAGCGGTTACATGGTTGCACTTTCATCGACAATAATAACATAGAATATACTTTTTACATTTTATTTTACAAAATCATTTTCTCCTGTGGTAACATACCGCAGACGAGACATTTTCTTTTTTAATTGGAATATTGAAATAAATATTAGTCGTCTAGACGAGGCTGCGAAGTTATTCGGGAACCTGATGGAGTAACGTTTGTGGGTAAGCTGCATCTCTGAAACGGGTAAGCGGATTCTAATCATGAAAGACTTATTTTAAACGTTATTTTGTAGCTTGTAACTGCCTTTAAATGTATATGAAGTTTAATTAGTATCCTGTAAGTAATTAACCACGGGATGAATAGGGGTGGTGACATTACGTACTTGTTCTTAATCCGTCACCACACGGATGTGTCGTAAAAGTTCCGTGGGTGTCGTAAAAGTCGACTAAGGGAGAAAACTACGCAAGACAACAGCACTGCAAAGAGATGGAAAACTTGAAACAAACCCTATACCAACCCGTCTGGCCAGTGAGGTATAGTAGGCCAAAACCTACTTTCAGAGGAGAGGCCTACGTCCAGCAGTGGACTATCATAGGCTGTTGATATGATACTTTTTAAGATATTCCGTCTTAGTCCAGGTTTAAAGACAATACTAAAAGTTAAAAAGCTCCGTAATCAATGAATCATTAAACGTTTTTGATTTCTGACTAACGGAAATAATCGACTATTAATTTAATTATTTATTTATTATATTAATAAATTAATATACCATTAATATATCAATTAAATGAAACATAAAATCAGTTAATTAAAGAACAGGATTTGCCGCCACTATTAAGGCCCGAGTTCTCGAAGGTTGTATAAATAAATTGCTTGCTGTTAGCAAGTTATTAATTAAATATTATATTAAAACAAGTTACTGGATTTAAATCAATAAATTTATGTTCGCAACAAAGTCTTCTAATTGCTAGGAATCATGCGATGCAACTGAATACGCTACGTTTCAATATTTTTCAACAAATATTTTCTTTATCAAAGTAGCTCTATATATATTTTCGCTATCAAAACTTTTCTAGTCAAATAAATTTTCTGTACAATACTTGTGACAAATAACAACATTTGACACCATATTTGGCTCTAATGGAATCGTTACTTTGTTGTTCTTATGTACTTTTTAGCATAAGATATGCTTAAAAAACAAAAAGGTTTATAAAGCAGTTATGTTTTTACAAAATTTAGCATTAGCCAACAATCTATTGTCAGATCAGATTTCACATCACACATCATCAACAGCCTTAAATAGTCCACTGTTGGACATAGGCCTCTCCTTAGGACGGAGGTTTTGGCCTACTATACCACGCTGGCCAGACGGGTTGGTATAGGGTTTTGTGTCAAGTTGTCCTTCTCTCTGCAGTGCTGTTGTTCTGCTTAGTTTTTTCCCTTAGTCGGCTCTTACGACACCCACGGGATGAATAGGATGAATAGATCAGATTTAACAAGTTTTTATTAAGAACTGTCCCTCATTTTCAGCGAGCAAATCTTTAAGACGTCCACTTTACGAATGATTGCACTTTTTTGAACAGGCACTAATTCCGTTTTTGGGAATTTCTAGAGTAACGGAAGTACTAATCCATAACGTAGAAAATAGCCTAATTATATAAGAGTATGCAGCATAAAAAAATAAGAAGCTCTTCATGCAAATTTACGCTGCTGTTAAACCTTGTCTATCTATTAAATATGAACCAAATCCTTATCATCTCCAAACAGGTATTAGTCCTCGAGTCAGGTATAGAAGAGAATATAGACTTCGACATACCAGGAGTGCCGACCAAGGACTACCGTCCCATATTGTGGAACTTTAGGACTGAAAGGAACAACTACTCTTGTCTTTCACGACCTGGAGGAGCATGCGAAGTGAAGACCGGAAAGGTTGGAAGAAATTTAAGATTTGCACACCTTTATATCTTGAATAAGTTCTTAGCAAGTGTTTGTAGAGCAACTAATTAAATCAAGTACACCAAAGAGAGTTAATTTAGTTTCCGTAATACGTAAACGCACTTCATGAATGAGCGGTGCAGTTCGGGCTTTTTATTTTAGTTCTAAATTTTTAGTTACACAATTGTTTTTCTTAAGACTATTCATAAAATTAGTCACACATAACTAGTATTTATGTCAAACACTTTAGCTAAACATTTTTGCTTGGAATAAGTTTTACGTTGGTACTGTAATAGGGTGGGTGGGCAGCATATTTAATGAGATGTACTCCGTGTTACATGATTCGAGGGATAAGTAAATATTCTCGTAAATAAGGAAACGACTACACAGATGGCGTAGTGGCTTAAGCGGTCACCTCGCCCCTTCCTACTGCGCTGAGTGTTGTGGGTTCGATCTCCACATGGGACAACACTTTGTGTGATCCACAAATTATTGATCTGAGTCTGGGTCATCTTTGTTGTTTGTTTGTAAAGTGCCCTGCGACACAGGGTGTATACCTAGTGCAGGAGTTGTATTCTAAAAGAAATAAAAATGATTTTCGTTTTGTATCCATTGTAATATAAATATCGTTCAAGGTATTGGGTGGATCCAGCGTGATCAATGACATGAAGTATACCAGGGGTCACAAGTTGGACTATAACGGATGGCACAGTACTGGAGCCATAGAATCTCTGGACTGGAAGTTTGATAGTGTTTTAGAACATTTTAAAAGTATAGAAGACAATGGTAAGCTGGGGTCATCTGTAATATTTTAAAGCGATCTGAACTCTATAAACGGTTATTCTATAAATATCTTATAAAATGCGAATTTTGTTAAGACGCATCTACGTATGATCATAGTGTTGGTTAAAGCTGCAACAGCGGACACTCTCAAAGCAGACACAATAAGTTAGGTTCCACTCAAAAACACAGATTGACTTGATGATATTATTAATACTTAACTTGAGCCATCATGAGATCTTTCGCCTGTTAACTATCATGGTCAGAATCATCATCATCAACAGCCTTTATAAGTCCACTGCTAGACATAGGCCTCACCTTATAAAGGAGGTTTTGGTCTACTACATCACGCTGGCCAGATAGGTAGGGTTAGGGTTTGTGTCAAGTTTTCCTTCTCTCTGCAGTGCTGTTGTCCTGCATAGTTTGCTCCCTTAGTCGCCTCTTACGACACCCACGGGATGAATAGGGTTGATGTTATAGAAATAATGATTGCAATTACATTTTTAGAACTCGCTTTTCTTTATATTGGTAAATACTAAAATAGCAAAACTAGAAAGATAATATTTCTATAAAGGTGTATCTATTGATAAAAGTATATAATTTTGTGTTAAATCGTCAGACAAAGATCGCTTTTGAGCACTTATCTAATCCCATAATTTCTATTTCTTATCGAAAGAATCTTTTAGACAATTTAGGCTCACCAGAAATAGGATTAAACTTTTATCATATTTTTATAACGACACAAACGTTTTAATTACGCTTTAATACTATCGTGTATATTGGTGTTACGCCTGAAGTCAAGTTTGAGAACTAGAGTCAGTGGTGACCAATGACGTTAGGCTATGGTTTCAAGACTTTTAACATCAAATTTCTGTTTTAAGGTGACTACGATATCTTAATGAACTCTCATTACCATTCCCGTGGTGGTGAGCTGCACGTCCAGCGAATCAAACACGCAGACAGACCCATTGAGATATTCACTGCTGGTTTCACAGAGATGGGACTCCGGAATTTGGACATAAATACCAATGTACAAGAAGCTATCATTAACAACCAATTTGCCATATCAAACAATACCAGATTGAGTTCCAATAATGCTTTTCTAAAGCCAGTAAGATACAGAAAGAATCTGAAAGTTGTAACAGGAGCAACTGTGACTAAAATAGTTATAAATAAGGAGGAAAAGTCCGTGGATGGTGTTCTTTACGAAATTGAAAAGGGAAAAGAACATCCAGCGTACTCAAAGAGAGAAATCATCCTAACAGGAGGAGCGATCAATAATGTCAGGCTTCTACATTTGTCCGGCATTGGTCTAAAAGCTGATTTGAATAAACATAACATTACGTCAATCATTGAACTGCCTGTAGGCCTCAACTATCAAGATCAAGTGACAACAGGAGGTCTTGCGTTCGCCCTAAATGATATTCCTGCAGTTACAGAAGAACAACTTGTAAATGATTTTAAAACTTGGTTTCAAAGTCGTACCGGAGCTTTAGCATCCAGAGGTATTGGTCAAATATCTGCTTTCATACAATTGTACGAAAACTTCAATGCTCCCGACGTAGAGCTGACCTTAGAAGGTAATTACATAAGAAGTGATAAATTTATGCTGACTAACGTATCTGTGCATACTTCAGAGGAATCAACTTTACCATTAGCCTATTATAATTTAGTTAATATAAATCCTGTTTTACTTAGACCTAAAAGTAAAGGAAAAGTAATGTTAAACAAAAGAAACCCCAAATACGGCCGGCCAATAATTCAAGCGAATTTCCTCAAAGAAAGTGAAGATTTAGATACCTTAGTCGATAGCATTGATATAGCACTGCAGTTGCTTCATACTAAAGAATTCAAGAAAGCTGAAATTAAGTTTGCACCTTTAGACCTCTTCCCATGTGACCGACTTACTAATAGAGATCAGTGGAACTGTATTGCAAGACATTACACTAAAGCTATGAATAATCCTATTGGAACTTGCAGAATGGGAGAAAATAGCACTGATTCCGTTGTAGACTATCAATTAAAAGTCCATGGTATAGAAGGTCTACGAATAATAGATTCTTCAGTAATGCCTTCACATGTTAGAGGAGGTATCTTTGCGCCTACGTTGATGATCGCTGAGAAAGGAGCCAAAATGATCATTAAAGATTGGAAAGAAAACAAGGGTCATTATTATAGCAGACGGTGACAATAGGATGCGAAATAAAAGTAGTCTTAATAAAACATTTTATTAATACCAACTAGTTTTTATCATATCACTTGCTTTTTCTGCTATCATTATTACAGGCGCTGCGGTAGATCCTCGTGTTATTTTTGGCATGATCGACGCGTCAACTACTCTTATACCGTTTACTCCATACACTCTTAGATTCCTGTCTACAACTGACTCAGCATCAGTAGGTGGTCCCATTTTGCATGTACCAGCGTAATTATGCAGCGGTGTTGAAAAATGTTTTATAATACACAACCAGAATTCTTCCGATACTCGTTCATGATCCTTGCAGTCGTTATTAAGTATTGGACGAGGATCGAACGCATACTCGGCGCTTTTAAACACTTCTGTATCAAATAGCTTAACTATTTCTTGTATGCCCTCTAGTAACTTTTTCTCATCAGATTGGTCTTTCAGAAAATTAGGATATATAAGTGGTTTACCAAAAATAGGGTCTGTGGCGTTTAAAATCACCTGGCCGCGACTTTTAGGCGTTAATAACGATACACACATTTCGATTTTATCGTAGTACATATTTGAATCGTGCCCTCTAAACCTAACTTCAATGTCAGGAGTCCCCAAGATTTCAGATATGGAACTTTCTAAAAAGGCGACAACTTGAAAGTTAGCCGATAAAGGACCGACGCCTTTGGAGTAGTAACTTGTGATATCTTTTAATTTATCTGGAAACCTTGACGTTGTTGCCGTCTTGGTCAATTTTATTACCGGCAAACATACCGATAGATGATCATGGAAATTGCCTCCCACGGGCAGGTCGTATACTACCTTTAAATCTAAATATTCTAAGTACTCCTTTGGTCCTATACCAGATTGCATTAATAATTTAGGGCTGTTTATAGCACCTGCGCTTAGTAAAATTTCCTTTCTAGCTTTTACTCTATGTATTGTACCATTTTTTATATAATCTACGCCATATGCTGAAATACTGTCTCTAGTTTCCTCAAATAGTATTTTCGTAACTAATGCTTCTGAAACTATATCTAAATTCGATCTTAACTTTTTTATAGGTTCAATGAAAGCTGTGTATGAACTGACACGTTCACCGAAGTAAGAGGTAGTTTGTATTCTCATGAACCCTAACTGATGTCTTCCGTTTACGTCAGTGTAGTTGTATCCCAATTCGTTTAAGGCACTTAATAAAACATCGACATTGTCATCCACGTGGGGGTACCGGCCCACATCTAATGGACCCTGCGTGGAATGAAAGTACTTATTTTTGGAAATGTCCTTATCATAATTGCCTTCTGAATATTTAAAGAATGGCAACACTTCACTGTAAGACCACCCTTCGTTGCCGTTGATGGCCCATTCATCGTAGTCCGCTGCACTACCTCTCATGTATGCCATATCATTGATCGACGAGGTCCCTCCCAGAACTCTACCCTGGACCACCTCACAACCTCTATCGCCTCGCTTCTGGCAAAATCTGAAACGTCATAGAACTATACTATTGATAAAAACTACAGTTACGTACTCAGGATCTGTCGATAAATTTCATAGATCTCGCAAGAGACTGCAGCTGTCATCTTAAAATAACCGTTTTAGGCCAAATAACCTCAGTTTAGTTTATACCGAGCGGGATCATCATTACTTCACCTACAATTAAAAACACACCTTACAAAATCTATCGACAGATCCCTTGTGTAGAGGCGAAGAATAAATCTCACCCCTTCTTCGGACGCATAGTAAACTGCCAATCCATCGAAGAACCTTTGAATTCACTTGTGAGACCTGGAATCAGCGCCATCTTAGGCTCTTCGGGCCCTGCTTCAATCAGTAGTATCTAAAATGGATTTATAATATTGTGATAATAATCATTTATAATAAAATTGAAAAAAAAACGGATAATATGCAAATGATCAGAACTATTACTCTATAGTGGATTATATAGAGGACAAAAATGCTTGAGATTCAATTAAATCAAATCAAATTAATCAAGGCCTTAGACCTTACAGGGCATATATTCTTTTTTACATAGTTTTTTTTTCTTTTTAAAAATGAATTCTTATCTTTTTTTTAATTTGCCTGTGTTTTTGATTGTTTTATTTACTTATAATCCAAATAAGAAACTAGCATGTGACAATGCGCCGATCCTGTTATGCAGGTAACTAAATTGTGAAGACTATTTAGTGTTTACTGTTTTAAACTATCGCGTTCCATCATTATATGTTGTATATGTGTAATATGTTTACGGGAAATAACGCGTTCACGACAGGTATTAAGTACATACCTTTGAATTGTCGTCACAGACTGAGTCCACGGTTAGTGTCCCCTGGTCAAAATGTCAGACAATACCTACAGTGACCGCATAATAATATGTATCTGTTTGTTTGGTCGATTTATTCTCACAGGGCTTAACCATACGGAAACTGGCGGATGTAGATCGACACAGGGAGATACAGTGTTAATTGTTATACATTGTTTTATTAATATTACTTTTGATAAACCAACCTACGATTGCTATGATTTTGAATGTTCACCTATAATTTTTAATTAAAAATTCATATTGAGCTACTAAATAACTGTTATTTTATTTAATAAAGCTATTCAATTTAATCACCATCCTCCCTAATCCTCCAGTTGGGGGACCCGTGTACTCGTTCACCCTCTGTTACAAAATAAATATTCAAGAAAGAGCCGAATTCCATATTACCTTCCATTTCCTATTCTCTGACAGTCTACTTGCGAGAACGCACCCAGCAGTGCCACCACCGACCACAATAAAATCATAAATTTGCTCCTCAGTTTCAGATGAATCATATTTATTTTTACCTCTCTCACTGGGGAATTTGTCGAAGTACGAAAATTGTTTACTATACGAGATTTTTTCGCCACCACTTTGTTTCAACAACCCTTTTTTATTACTGCCGAAGTAGTTGGGCTCGGGGCCTATGTATCCGTAGAGCGTGTGTACCAGAGATATCAAGAGGATGGCTGTGGGAGCGCATTCGATTCGTCCATCACATATCTTGCATAATTCATCAGTGGCGTTAGCAGACATTGCATCTTTATATTCTAAAGGAGCATCTTTCGAATTGCTGTTATACTTTGCATTATCGTCTTCTGCACTTACAGATACAGCTTTTGTAAATTATATATTACTGTTTAAATAAGTTATTATATTATTAAATTCCATTCGAAGTCATTATGGATTAATTATTTTATCCTTAATTTTTCTTGCCATATCTTTTATTCACTGGTATTTATCTGTCTTGTTATAAACTGTTTAGGATATTTTTGTATTTTTTAGATATATTTTTTACTTTAAATGTAAATTACTTTGCTTAGATTATTACTTTGTCTTTTTCGTTATTACCTTTTTGGGCACTAAATGTTTCACTTGCAGCAAGATATACACATTTCGTATTTGTAACACGATTGTCTCTAACAACGACTCTGCGGTGTTGTGTTGTTGTCTCTAAGAATTTGTTGTTTACGTCCTTTGTTCTTGTGTTTACATTCTAACCATTGTTATGAGTTCCAAGAGTTTTGGCGTTATAATTTACATTTTGCTCGGCATGTAATGTGAGAATAGATTACGTTTTTAGAAATGAATCAACACGTACTTATGAAACATTTGTGAATACATCCCACCTTGTTGGTTCGGAAGATGTAATAACAGGTAAATGGAGAATTACCAAACGAAAAGAAGGGTTTGAATACTGTCCTGAAACATTAAGTTTTGTGAGTTGTATTTATAAAATCAGCCTTTCGCCGTCCACTACTGAACGAAGGTGTAAGGTAAAGTAAGGTACATGTGTCTGAATGGTTTCATTCGATGTGCCTTCCATGACAAGTCCTTCACCATTTGAAAAAGGGCTACTGTCGTGTCCAAATTTAATTGCTGTCCGAAGCACTATTCTGCTCGCCCTTAGAAGTTATCTCTTACATAAACTAATTTTGGTACTAGGTTTATAACGCAAGCTTATGCTTGCGTTATAAACCCTTCGGTGACATTTTTTTTTCGATAAGAGTTTTTGTGGACATATTTGGCAAATATATTTACAGACATTATAATTTAAAATTTAAATATTCAAGAAAGTACCGAATTCCATATTACCTTCCATTTCCTATTCTCATATTCCATAAAACATTTTAAATTTTGTAAAACCTTAAAAATAATAAAATAAAACTTAAAAATGTACTGCAGAAATCTTATTATATAAATTAAAAGACATAATTAAGGATAAGAAAATAATCAATCAATTACACTCTGACTACTTGACCACAGTGCAATTAGTAACTTTCTGTGATAAATATGAAAAGATGTCAGAAAAAAGGATTGTGGTGATACCTAAAACTGCGAAGCGTTGTAAAAACTTAAAAAAAAACTTAACTGAAAGCACTTCAGTATTTTAGTACTCTGTGTAGACAATAACCCTAACACTTACTATAATAGTTTTTTTGAAACTTTTACTTCAACATTTCACACCGTTTTTATACCAACAACCCTAGTAGTTAAAGGTAACGCCACATTTAGTGAATGGGCTACCACTGGCTTACTCAAAAGTCGGAAAAGATTATACGAACTATACGACGAGAGAAATTATAATAAAAGTGAACAGTTTCATACTTATGTTAAAGAATATTCGAAGCTGTTTAGGAAACTTTGTAAATTTGATAAATCCCGTTTTATAAATTCAAAGATTAAAAGTAGCCATGATAAGATTAAAACCACTTTAAAAAATGCGATTATGAATTTAATCTGAATGTAAACAATAAATTCATTACATCAAATGCTGAGGTTGCTGCCTCATTTGAGATAACTTTTTTACTAATATTCCTGTATCAACTATTAAATCTTTGAACTTCTCACCATGAATTGCAGAATCAATTTTAAAATATAATGTTGGTAGGATTGATGGTGAATTTATTTTCCAATATGTTTCACCCCTTGAAATTATTAAAGCCTTAAACACTATTAATGTTAAAAAAACAACCGACCTATGGGAAAATTCTGTTTTATTTACTAAGACAATTATATCTCTTGTGGCTCATCAATTGTCATTTACATTTAATTAATGTGTTCATAGTGGTGTATTTCCTGATCATATGAAGTCCAGTAAAATTATTCGCTTATTGAAATCTGGAAGTAACTAACTTTAGGCCTATTTTGGTATTACCAGTATTTAGCAAAATTTTTGAAAAAATATTATCAACTTTTAGTCCTTAAAACTTACATGATGGCACACATCAAAACAATGTTATGTATATTTAATGATGCCCTTGTTATCTGTTGATTGAAAAGAGTGGCCGTGAGTTTGTTTGCCCTTTCTTCTCATGAGGCTCAACCCCTTGGGAAATGGGCGGTTGTAGATCGGCACAAGCATACAAGAGATTTTTGATACTTATGTACTAAATATTTGACAAAACAGAGATTGTTGCTATTGTGTGTGTTGATCTATGACTGTAGAGTCTAAACAAGAGACTATTTCAATTATTATTTTATGAAATAAAGGTATTAGAGTTTGAATTTGATATGAATGTTATCTGTACCGCAGACAACGTGGACTTACCCAGAACTTCATAAAAATCTGTTGAGTAGTGAAAGTTTGAAAGAGTACCTAACAAACTCATTTTCTCATATTAGTTAGGAAATAGTTAAGATAATATAGTCCATTCATACCCAATAATATCCATGTGGTGAAGGATTTAGAATACGGAGTGTCCCACCTCTATTCATCCCGTGGATCTCGTAACAGTCGACTAAGAAAGCAAACTACACAGGACAACAGCACTGTAAAGAAAAGGAAAACTTGAAACAAACCCTACCTATAATAAACCGTCTGGCCAGCGTATTTTACCTCCTTAAACGTATTAAAAAAATTAAAAAAAAGTAAAAATATTACTACGTATTAAACCTCCTTTCTAAGGCTCTCCTTAGAAAGGAGGTTTAATACGTAGTAATATTTGGCCTACTAAAATACGCTGGCCTCTGCCTATGCTGCCACTGCTGGACATAGGCCTCTGCCTATGTCCAGCAGCGGACTATTAAAAGCTGTCAATGATATAGCACACTTGTCTATAACACTAAAACATGAAGCATAATTATTTTTATTATCTATTGCAGTAACACAAATCTGAAATAACAATACATGACATACCGCGATAACATGACAGATTATGCGTATCTACGAGTATGTTACAATCATAAACCATGTTTTATAGTAGATATTTGTGCCTGCGAATAATACAAAATATAGGCTATGCGCGGATGACCCGGTGAACTTTGTTTAACATACATCTTTTTATCTGTATCTAAACATATGTATATTTTTTAATGACAACTTCCGCTCTGGACATATATTCTTTATCGCAGGGGACTTAACGACCATCTGTCACCCTAGCAGAAGCAGGCCAGGGTGGCCGCGAGCGCGTTGCGAAGCGCGCTCGCTTCCAGGGAGCACAGGGAACATGGGGTTCCCACACGGGGGGGGTCGTCTACTCGTCTGTAGATGACCCGAGGTATGTCGGGGTACCAGGGACTTCCTTTCTAGGGTATACCTGGTTCCCCGGCTATTAGTACCCGAGACGGCGTGCGGTTTTAGTCGGTTCGTGTCCGACATGCCACCGACAGGTGGTATCCGAGGGGATTTCCGCACGGAAAAAAAAAAAAAAAAAAGGGGACTTAACGAATATACATGAAACGGACACAAAGAACACCCAGACTCAGGACGACAATTTGTGGATCACACAAAGTGTGTATTCCTATGTGGGGATCGAACTAACAAAACCCAGTGTAGTAGGAAGCGGCGTGACGGCCGCTTAAACCATTATGCCATCCGTGCATTGCAGCAAAATTACTTGCCCTGAATCCCTGATTCATCATCGTGGAGCCTAAACTTATAGGACTACAAACTTGATATTTTGGCTGCTGATACTTTATATGTTGTAAGCATCCACTAAGAAAAGATTTTTGGAAATTAGGAGGTAAAATTATTAATGAACGGTTGTATGGAATTCGTCATTTTCATAGTCAAAAAACAAAAAAATAATCACGCGAATAAAGCAGCTTTCAATAGCTGGCATATATAAGTGTTTGACAACCAACAAACATGTCGATTCTTTGTCATAGTGACAATGTTTTGCATTTTTGTAAATTGAACTACGAATTCTAATTCACATAATCACACAAATTTTCATATATATCAGTGGAGATTTTCAGGTACTTTTATGTTTTCTGGATTCTTTCCTCTTGGGACTTATTTTAAAAATTCTACTTCTTCTCAGTCTGCGGTACCGGGCCTATTCTCGGAACTGGCGAGACGTGAGAGTTCTGAACCTCTCCCGGTCTCGCTCCGCCATCTTCTCGCAAGCATGACCTGCTCGCAGAAGGAGACGGCGGAGTTCCACTCTCGCTTCGTACCATGGCGGCAATCATGTTGCCGAGCGAGAGAATTCCCGCGAAAGTGGCCCTAACACCGACCCCTGTGGAACACTGAACGACATTTCACGTCTACCGAGACCGACCTACTTGAGTAGGCGACGGCTCTCTCCGACAGATATGCCTCGACTATGCGGCGGAGGTAGAGAGGCACTTCGTGATACACGAGCGCCTCCCTGATGCAACTTCAGGATAAAGCGTTGAACGCGTTGGCGATGTCCAAGGACACCGCCAACACCACTTCGCCCAGGGAAAGAGCTTCTTCCGCCAGAGCCCTCACGCGCATGTTCGCATACTCGGTGGAGCGCCCCTGACGTAAACCGTACTGGTTGTGGTGTGGTGGCCCCGACCCCCTCGAGCAGCTCTGGCTGACACCGGGTCAGCGGTGGGGCCCATGGGCGTATCTTAACCATACGATAGTTGCGCCCCCATGGATCCCGTACCAGTGTCTCCAGTAAACTCAGCCTCGCTCTTGGCCCGCTTTATCGCTGCCTGAAGGGTCCTTTTGGCAACCATGTATTCCTTTAAAACAAACAGCTGACCACCTTGTCAATATAACTACTCATTGATGAATATCGTCGCAACATTGTCAAGGAAGTTTAAGGCAAGCTCTAACC